AAAACTTCACCAAACCCAAATAAAATTGTAGGGGCAAAAACTTAAAAAAATAACATAAAGAAAAGAAGAAGAAGAAATCTCCATTGCAGGACAAACAAGATGAAGAGGCAGCAGGAAGCAGGAGAAAACACGAAGACGGCGACGGCAATGATTCCCATGCACAGCCAAGTGAGAAAGATCCGACAAGAAATCGAGAAAGTCAAACGACCGTCGTTGGATCGGGTGACGGCGACGAGGCCCCATGTTTTCCGGGAAGATATGACTGCCTCCGGCGGCGGCCGCCAGCAGCGGTCGAGATCTCCTCTTGGGTTGGCTCAAAGGCCGGTAGCCGTTGGTATTAACTGCTCACTAGATATATACTAAGTAGATCGAACAAGACAGTTTGTTCTTTGTAGTTATATTTATCGACTTCGACCGCTAATCATTCTTATTATAATATGAATAATCAGCGGTCGAATTTGATGAAGACGAGTTCGAACTGTCACTTTTAATATGACAGAGCGGGTGTTGTAATTATTTCGTCTTTAATTAATTACGTGTATATATGTTTAAGAAAACACTTGCAATAACTCAATAATAAGACTCCATGTTTTTTCTTCCCCTTGAACTAGTTTCTTGATCTATATATATATATGTGTGTGTGTGTGTGTGTGTGGCCGGTGGATTTTTTTAATAATTAATTAATTTCCACTTGAGTTGTAAATGTTATTTCTCGTATGAAAAATGTGTTACTGGGTGGGCGATGAACTTTAATTCACCAGAAAAGTATGAAAATTTGTTATGGAGGGTGAAGTAGGATATTTAAATAATAATAATAATAATAATAATATTATTATTATTATTATTATTATTATTATTATTATTATAGGTTAGGTTATTACGGAGTATTATTATTATTATTGGTTAGTTAATTATTATTAGGAAGTAGTATTATTATACTCCGTATTAAGTTACTAGTATCTTGGTTTATTTAGTTACCATTTATGGAAGATTCTTTAGATTTGAAAGCTATATATGTGTCCATCACTATGAAGTTATGGATTTCCTTCTCCTCTCTCGGTTTGCCGATTTCCTTCTCGTCTCAATTTTTGGAGCTCGAAGACACTCGAAGTTATTCTCTATCCGATACGAATACGAATTCGTATGGTTTCATTAATTTGAACACCAAAAGAATATATGAATGCAAGTCCTTTAATTTATTGAGAGAAAGAGAAGTGCTTAATTATTATAGGTATAATCATAAGAGAATCATAATCCACTTCCCTAAAAGATATGCGGATTATGGCATCTTATTTTGGGAGATTCCTCTTGTCCCCCTACCTCACCCACATCAATTTTGGGTCAACTAGAAAATCGGACCAAAAAAAGTCAATATGGACAAATACTCCAGAACGGTGGGAACTCATGAAAACATTGATATTCAACCTATAAAGATGGAATATCAAGCTATAAATGATTCCATGTTTCTATTAGAAGGTCAAAAGAGGAAAAAAACATATAGTGTGTGGTCATCAAATGTTCAAGTTTGAACTTTGAATGGTTCAAAATCACCAAAATACATGTTCAAGTTGAATTGTCAAAATAAGGCACTGCCTCCCTTTGATTTTTCAACCACTTGGAAAAATTTACATATATACTGATATACTGTATTCGTCCCAAAATAAATTTCTCATTCAATCCCTTTTAGAGTAAGTATTGAGTGGACCTCAAATTTTACTTTTTCTTCGTGAAAGTCAGGTCTTTGTAAATGACACATTTCCATAAAATAAGCTTGAGCAAACAGAGACAATATTTTAGTTTTGGGAATATAATGGACTAAATAAAAAGTGCACATTAAACTTCCTTTGCTTGTTGTTGTACATTAAATAATGGACTATGTTGTTGTTGTTGTTGTAAACACTACAATCTAAAGTCTAAACATATCTGAAAAATAAAAATTAAAAAGACATTCTTCCTTCAATATTTTCAAGGTAAAACCAAACATTAAAACCCCATTTTCTTGGGGTTTTTTTACCCAAATTGTGGCAAGTTCCATGCAATCAGAAACCTAAAAGGAAAGCAGACATATAAATTGCCCCAAAAGGTAAGGTGTAAAATGGTACCTAGTTTCGAGCAGAGGCAGATTCCTTTGAGAGAAGCAACTTCAGCCTCTTTGTAAGATCTCTCATGACATCTATGATCACAGACTTCTTCTCAATCCTGAACCGGATAGCCAGATCGGTCGTCGCAGAAATGTTCTGTTTCAATAAAGACTCGTCCTCCGTGATTTTAGTAGGAAAGTGTCCTAGAGCAATCACACACAAGGCAACAATGGTGCGGAGAGCAGCAACTTCGTTTGGTGTTCCAAGGGGAGATTGGGCAGACAGTGACTTGAGCGTGTCTATACTGTGACTTCGAACCAAGTCCTCGTCGTTTGATAGCAATGCCCTTAAAGCAGCCACCAAACGTCCCTCAACGACATCCGGACCCCCCAGCCTGACCTGTTTTAGGGTGAAGAGAAAACAAATTCAGAACTTTGAGAAGCCCCTTGTTTTAAAGAACCAACTATAGAATTTACTGTAAAACGATGGGGTATGTACGCAGCATTATGACTTCATTGTGAAATTTATTTACGCAAGGGCATATGCAAACAAAGATGGCGTAAACTTTCACCATCCCAAATTATTTAGATCGATTTTTACCTTAAGATCAGAGTTTTCACCATCCAGATTTAGGTGGGATAAAATTTCTTGCTGCCAATGGGCCGGAGAAGAGAAGTTTGGGGAATGAACTCCAGCAGCCATGCTGGCAGCATCAAGAAGAGCTGCATCATACTTGAGCTCAATGCAGTCATAGGGATTTGAGGGCACCACAAACCCATAATCAATAAGAAAGAGATCATTGTTCAGGCAACCATAGTTCAGTTCTAGTTCATCATTTCCTTTTATGTTTTCTGCAGCAATCACCTGTCAAGACAGTAATGATGACAACTTAAAAACCAGCCTTTTCCCCACATAATCAATTTTCTTCACACCCAAACAACTTAAAAACCAGCCTTTTTCCCACTTATTTTCACTTCCCTCCTACTTTTCATTTCCTATTTACCCCCACTCCCACCTCCCTCCCCCAACAAAACAAAAAAAAGCATAAACATGTAAGGATAGTGAGAAATGCAAATCAGTTTAAAGCATTAAAAAAATCTCATCAATGAATACCTTTACAAGCATTTTCCCATCACCAGCCTCATGTTCCTGTATTATTTCTGCGTTCGGATGGAAGCTGTGGTTACACATGTCAACTAGTGGGAGCATCATCGGAACATCTTTATGGGTCCCATCTAGATGTTTGCCACCATACAAGCGGAATGCACGAGACGAAACAGCTGACATGGCCCACCCAAGTGCAGATGAATCCACATGTTGGCCATCAAAAGGGTGATCATCTTGCTTCACATTATCTAGCTCTTGTTTCACTAGTCTCTCGAATTCTAGAAGAAATCGGCACCGCTTGTTTACCTAGTGCAAACAATATTCCAGCATAACCACACGAACTAAAATATCTTTTAGTCCACTGGAAGTAAGAGCAAGTAGAATGATGGGCTGGGCAGGCATTGTATTTGGCATCCACTGGCGAACGTTTGGAATGATGATTCCGGCTTTGTTGTTAAAAAACAACTATGTAATGCCATAGAGGGCATTTTGGAGTCTGGAGCTTTTAAATGTATTCTTATTTAATTTAATTCTGTAAAACACTAATGGTAATATTTTAGTGTTTCTCAATAAATATGTTTCGCATAATACTATCCATTCCTTTTCTTTACCTCAACCCAACTACATAACAAAACACATTCCTTATGTAGTTTTTTTATGGAACCACATTCCATCATTTTCTTTTCCATGGAAATTTGGTCTATGGAATTGGGTGAACCAAACACAACTTAGTAGTCTCAAAAAAACACTACAATAACAATAACAACAACAAATCGAGTAAAGCCCTACAAGAAGAAATCGGGTCTGGGAAAGGGCACACATACGTCTTACCCCTACTAAGTAGTAGAGATGTTGTTTCCTAACATGAATAAAGCGAGAACCCAAACAAAGGAAGCCCACGTACCAACACTAAAACTCGGACCCAAAGAACACACGTATAACCTACAGGCTAAGGCAAACTACATGCTCCAAACTAAGGTCCAAAGGTCTACCCACCCAACTACTTTAATCCTAAACCTTCATGTCTTATAATCTAAGGCCATATCCTCGTTAAGGTCCTGAAGTCATTAATCATAAGTACCTTGGAAGGAAAAAAATTACTAATACCCTGGAGTAACATTAAATTCTACATTGCCTTGCATTTTGTCAAGGTTGCTGCTCTGAGTTGCAGAGGACACTTCTTCAGCATCAAAACAGAAACTCTAAAATCTGAGAGCAAGTACCTGATAAAGAAGAGGGGCATACTGCAAGTTCTTTATATCTTCTCCAGGAAAGAAAACAGGCACACTATAAGTCTCTGGAAGATTGCAGATGTATGGCCACCAAAAAGACCCTTTTCTTGCTCTTTCTTGCAGAAGCTTCAAACCCAATTTCATAGCCCATAGCTCCTCTGCCAAATGCTTTACTTCTTATATTCAAAACTCAAAATCCTATTTTTTTTTTTTTTGCAAAGAATCCAGTTACCAAACTACACTCAAATATTATAATCTACTGCCCATGTTACCCTTGGAAAATGCAAAGTAAAATGAAATATGACTGTGTTTTAGACTTTTTTAATCATATATTTGGATTAATTAGTGTTTATCTTATAGAAATTAATAACAAATAATGTGAATGCAAATCCTAATATAAATACATTTCAAAAAAAAATGAAATGAGAAAAAAAGGGAAGATACCAGGGACTTGTTGCGCCAATTTGGACATCGGAGAATCAGCGTCCACCGCTCCAAACTGCATCGGGAGATTCTCCGGGAGAGAAATTAGGTCAGATCCTTTGGGGATATCTTCAGAAGCAATTAAACCGAGGCCATTTCGCCGCTCCGAGGATGCTATCTTCACCGACGGGTGGACGAATCCGCCTTCTCTCCTGACCCACTTGATCAGGTCCGGCGGTTGCGGCACCAGCCGGGAAGAGTACACGACGGCGGAGGTTAGAGGGCGGAGGTGGGTGAGCGAGGCAGCCATGCGCACCATCGGCCATCTGTCGACATGCTTTGGGCTTGAACCGGAAGAAGATAAACTCGTTTGGGCTTAAACCCAAAGAAGCCCACATACATTCAGCCGCAATATGCGAACCCACTTCTTTTTTTGTTTTTTCAGTACTAAAAAAAGCTTGTTCCGGTGTGCCATCGCTCTCCGGCAGTCCGCCGCCCCGCAAACAGCTGATCCCGGTCGTTCGCAAGTCGGCCCCGCCGCCAGTACGATTCTTGTTCTTCTTTAATCCTTTCTCGTTCTATCGCTGTAAGAATATTTTGAAGAATTTTTCTCTGTTTTTTTGTAATAAAAAAATCTGTATTTTTTTTCCTGCCCATTTTTCTTTCAAAATTTATGCTTTTTTTAAAAAAATAAAAAATAAAAAATAGGGAGTAGTATTGTTTTCTGATTAATTACTGCGTAATATTAT